GGTGTGCAGCTCCCCGCCGGCCCGAGGCGCGCAGGGAAGGAAGGGGCAGCCCCGGGCTGGGAACTGGGGCTTCTCCTTTCCTCCAGGCCGGACTTTTGCAAACCTCCCACATTTATTTCTGTTTGCACCACCTGTCCCCTTCCCTCCCCTCCCCAATAGCTGATACCCCCCTCCCCCCAACTGAAGTGCATTTTCACTGTTGAATTTTTATAACGCTTTGAAATAATTGGAAGCCTCTGGCCTTGCCAAGCTTTAGTTGGAAATCTTTGTATTATGGACGGTCGCCCCCACCCCTTTGAATAGGGACCCCCACCCCCAACATGCAGGGGCTACTACACGGTCACCCTCTTCACAGCCCCCACGCAGTGGAGCCTGGTCACAATTCCCGGCTCTGCTGCTGAGGCCCGAGCAGTGCCTGGCTCCCAGGTAACTGTCCATTTGAAGGGGAGGGAGGGGGAGAAATGGCTAAAGGGACTAGCCATTTCTACTGTTCTACGTGTTCTCAGCACGTGGAACAGGGAGTGTGTCCTGCAAGGATGAAAGTCTGCAGGCCTTGTGGGACTTTGCTCTGGGTTTTGCCACTTGACCTAGTGTGCCCAGTGGCAGCTGACTACGTGCCCGCACCGGGGTCTGGCCGTGGCCTGGCCAAGCGTGGAGAACCCTGGCCAGCAGCTGTGACTCCCTCTCCTGGCCCTGCAGATAAACGGGTTTGAAGTGTTTACTGCTTTTTCAGTAGTGATCGTTACACAGAAAATAACAACTCTAGGCCACCCTGAGTTCCTTAAAAAGGAAAATAAACTCTCCGAGAAAGTGTTGCCTGGTCACTTGGGCAAAAGCTGAGTCTCTGGCAGAGAGACGGCTCTAGGCTTCCTGGCAGGGACCGCTTCCTAGCGACCCTCCCGTGCTCCCTCGTTACCCCATGTGGTGTAGGGTTTGGTGGCAGCTGTTGCTTTCTTTCCACGTGTTTGTGACAGAAATAACCCTCCCAGTCACTCACGAGGAGCCTGACTGGTGTTCCCAGTGGGGATCACAGACTGTGCCCATCAGGAAGGGGCTGTGCTGCAATCCTGAGGGGGCGGGGGGGCCCGCTTGCTGAGCTAAACCGCAGACATTTAAAAGAAGTGAAAGAATGACAGACCTCTGGGTTCCTGAAAGGGTTATTCTGCCTTAGACTGGCTATAAAAATGCTATTGGCCGTTACTTGACTGGGCTAAAGTGCAGCCAAGGATGTCTTCTGTCCCCAACCAGTGAGTCCGTTCTCTTGGCTGAAAGGAAGGAAGCTGTGCATGTTCCCGGAGCAAGGATGGAGCAGCAGAATAAGCTCAAGGGGGAAGGGGTAAGTGGGGTTCCTGGGGAGGGGGCACGGAGCAGCCCACTCCAGGGCCCCCCAGTGCAGCTCGCAGGGGGTCCCCCTGGGAGCTCCGGGCGGCTGCCCTGCCCTCGCCATTCACCCAGCAGCTGCATGTTTACAGGGACTAGAGAAAGGAGGCATTTAGAGGGTTTAGCCTTAGAGATCCTTTGGGAATCATTCAACCGGAGCAGCCTGGACAAATTGAAGAGACTCGAGGGGTTCATCTGTCCCAACTTTCTTCGCCAAAAGCCCTTGAGGTGAAGGGTCTCCGAACCAGCAACAAAATCCTTAGGGTTGCCCGTGAGGCACTCGCCCCCCCCACTTTGTTCTGATTTTAGCTTCAGACTTTTTGAATTGTCCTTTTCAGCAGGTAACATAACTAAGCCAGCATGAATTCAGATGCAGAGAAGCTGTTGCAGGGTTTGAATATAATTCACATGTGTAGCAGAGATTCCCTGCCTGATGACAAGACTCCCTTGTTTTTTAGAGACCAAAGATTTTTCTGCTGGGCCTACCGTTACACCTTTAGAGTCTCTTGATTGAGGAAAATGCATAAAGACAGAAAGATAATATGAATTTAACACCTTTCAGAAATTTGTATTTTTTTTTCATTACAACAGCATCTGCTGCATGTATGGGAGGAGAGGTACATATCTGTGCAGATTATTATTTATTCAGTCACGGGTGTGAGACCCTTGCCATAGGCAGGTTTTGGAACATGCTCTGTAGCTCATAGATTAAGAGCGGGTTTGGAAGGTAGAGGTACCTGGAATTCATTCTTGCTCCATCCTAATCTAAATGTAGGAACTTGGGAAGTTACTTAACTCCTCTGTGCCTCAGTTTTCTCATCTATAAAATGGGTATATTTACCATACCATCTCATAGGGCTGCTGGAACAATTAAATGAGATCATTTGCCTGCATGTAAATTACCTGGCACATAGTGAATTCCCCTTAAGTGTTCTTACTTTTGGATCATCGATTAGAGCAGCGCACTGTTGACATTTGGGCTGGGTAACTCTTCGCTGTCGGGGCTGGCCTCTGTGCTGTAGGGTGCTGAGCAGCATCCCTGGTCTCCCCTCCCTTGCTGCCAGGAGCGCTCCCACCCCAAGGAGAATCACTGCTTCAGAAATTACCGAGCACCTTCACCTGGATTATCTTGTTTGATTTTTCACAACCACCTAAGAAAGTACTAGTCAAGTGTTAGCCCCTCTAGTCTATAGAAAAGGGACTGGGAGGTAACAAGAATTTAGGGGTTTGGGAGAGTCAGGGGAGGCCCTGACCTGGTCTGTGCCCCTCTTCAAAGAGAAATGCATGGCCCAGCTGTGTCCCCAGGTGACTGCAGTAAAAGGGAAATGCCCCCACATGGTGGAGCCTGAAAGTGAGCAAAACATTTTGAAAGGAAATGATTACAATGGTCACATGCAAAAGGTATGGGCTGATCACAGCTCCCTGCTCCCTCCGTTCTCCAGGGAAGGAAGCCTCCAGCACCAGCCCAGCACAATGCAGTCTTCCCCTTGGGGCTGCCTGAGGGTGGGCCTGCCCCTTTGGGCACTGCTGGGCTTCCTGGGAGACATCAAAACAAACGATTCCACTGCTGACTAACTGTAAGAGTCTGCAAATCATTAAGCGATGATTTGAGGGGAGATTTTGGAGCCAAGGAAAAGTAGAGGGAGCAGGGAGGCCTGCAGGGAGTGGGGCTGGGCTGCCAGGGCTGCCCTGGCAGATGGGCAGGGCTTGGCTCTCTGTCCCCTGGTGGCTGCGTGACCCCAGCCTCACTGGCCTTTGGGTTCCTCATATGTAAAGAGAAAAGAATCTGTCCGATGTGCATCTAGGACTTTCTGCCAGGAAAGAGACTCTTGGTCTAACAGGAAAAGATAAAATGGATTGAAAGAAAAATGCTACAGTGCTTTGGAAAGTGCAAGTGCCCATTTTTGGTGGCATGCCCCTGCCAACAGCTAGCTCAGTGCCATTGAGCAAGCAGCTTTCCCTCTGGGTCCTCACTGTTAATAATTAATTATGATAGCAAACCCGTGTGCAGCTTACTACGGGCTAGGTGTGGCTCTGAGCGTTTTATAGATGGGCAGGCAAAAGTGGTTTATTGATGACAAGAACTCAGCCGAAGTGTGCTTGAATAGCAAGTGGGCGGCAAGAGTGTAAATAGCGAAGGCCAGCAATCTGAGCCCTGACGAGGCTGGACTAAGTGCGCAGTGCCATTGTCACATTCTTTTAGCTAATAAAGCTGTTGCAGTCATCATAACCCGCATGCCTTTTCCCATACGAACAACTGTAAACCTACTTTTGTCCACCCCTGTATGTGAACTCATTTGTTCTTTACATCAGTCCCGTGAGGAAGGTAGTGTCATTGTCCCCATCATACAGGTGAAGGAGCCAAGACACAGAGGAGTTCAGGAACTGGCCCAAGGCCACACAGCCCGAGCCGGAATTCAATCCCATGCTCTTGGGTTACAGCCGCTGTGCTCTGACCGCCCCCCCCC